ATTTGCTGTTTCATGTGAATGACCTCAGTTTTGAAATGAAACCAGCCCGATTGTATGTGGAAGACACATTTGTTTATTACATTAAGACTTTATTTGGGACATACCTGCCAGACAGCAGAGGAATTTGCCATTCCACAAAAGCTAATGCTGTAAACCATATACTGCCTGAAAGGGTTAGGCAGCATGCAAATGCTTTGCTCAATCCAGTGAAACTAAGGAAGTTAGTGATTCAGCCAGTTAGCCTCTTGGTCAGCATCCATGCTTCACTGAAGCTGTATATTGCTTCAGATCACACACCCCTCTCCTTCTCTGTCTTTGAGCGTGGACCCATTTTCACAACAGCCAGGCAGCTGATTCATGCATTGGCCATGCACTATGCTGCAGGAGCATTATTCAGAGCAGGTATGTTGATTTGTTTTATTACCATTCTGTAGGTGTTGAGATGAAGTGGCCAAGTGTTGGAAGCCTGTGACTCTTTTCCCAGTTCAGGTTATAGTTTCATAATGACCAACCAGCTCCCAGTTTACACAACTGTTACAGGGATACCAGATGCTTTGGGATGCAGAGGTGTATCATTTCAAATCAGAATTTTAGTGTGGGCTCACCAAACCAACCAAGACCACTGGGAAAAGAGCTTTTGGGTTTTGGTTCATTCCAAAATGACCACTGGTAGCCTAACGCTTCACCCTTATTGCTGTGGTGCTGCAAGGTGAATGTTGTGTCTGAAGAAATATGTTGGGTTGGATCAAAAGCTCTGATGAATGGAGTACATTCACAGAAGCAATTTCTACCACATGTTCCTTCTCTTCCTGCCCAGCTCTGTATGCCCCTAAGAACTTGGGGGACCCTCTAGAACAGTATGTAGCATGGGAGACTGCACCAAGGAGGAGTTAGTCAAAGTCACCCTCAAAATTGTTCAACTGAGTGAGGATAGATGGCTTTGAAAGGGGGTGAGTCAGATTCATTGTCTATCAGTGGCTACTAGTCATTGTGAGCAAAGAGAACCTCCATAGCACTGAAACCCAGTGCTAGGAGACAAAGTCATTGAGTTTCATGCCTTGTTTGTTGGCCCTCCAGGACAACTTGGTTAACCACTGTGTGAACCAGGATGCTGGACCAGATGGACCACTGGTCTGAGTCAGCAGGACTCTTCATATGCTCTTATGAGGGGTTGGTTTTGGCTAATTCCCCCCTTCATGCCACGTGGCATCCTATTCTGGTGGGGTCCCTAGGCCTCAGCCACCATTTTTCTGAGGTGTAAGGGGCTCTGGGGGGAGGAAAGGCAATAAATGACGCTTTTACAAACTTGCTGTAACCCATTGTCTTTGGGAAAGCGATGTGGCAGGAGTTGACTACAATGATGAAACTGGAAGTGCTGTAAACTGTATGTGGTGGAGAGCAACAGTTGGACTCTTGTAGGATGTTCCTAAAGTTTGAAAAAAGCAGAGAAAACATATTCGTAGTTGTTGCTGTTGTTGTCTTTGCTATCCTAGTATGTACTACGTAAAAGCACAACAACTAATTCCTAACAGAGGGAGTTTTTCATGAAATTGTTCAGTATGTCTGTACATTTGAAGCAGATTATGCCACTGAACACTGTTTTCTTGTTCAATCTCTTTTTGGCTGCCGTTTATGATTAGCAATCTGTCTTTCTTCATGGAATCCTCATGCTAGACTGGCACACAGATGTTTATTGCTCTTTGATCTGAGTAGTGTGTTTGTTTTACTGATTCTTTCCCATACAAGATCAATAGTAAGCAAACGATTAATGGGGTACCTTCTCTGATTTCCATACATGTGCATTCAGAAGGTGACTCTGCTGAACCTTTGCCTGCACAAGAACATGTATGTCACAGTGCAGAGGAAGAGTTCTTAGATCACCCACTACTAAGTATTACTTTTGCTTAAAACACGGTTGTTTTGCTCTATACCTACAGCTCTTGGGCCCTATACCATTCTCATTGGTGTGCACTGTGTAAGCATATGGGAAAGAGCCAGCCAGTTTTATTGCACACAGTGGGGCTCACTTCCACTTGGGGGCATGAAAACAGCAGCAAGCAGTATGGGAACGTGCTGGAACAGCATCCACACACCTCAGATCCCTGCTGTGGCTAGTGGCCCATTAGGAGCCCACCATGGGCCAGGTGAAAGGATGGCCAGCTGCAGGACGCAATAAACAGTGTCTGCACTGATTAGGGTTGCCAGCTCCAGTCCGGGAAATACCTGGAGATTTTGGGGGTGGAGCCGGAGGAGGGTGGGGTTTGGGGAGGGGAGGGGAATAATGCCACAGAGTCCAACTTCTAAGGTGCCTGTTTTCTCCAAGGGGAACTGATCTCTGTCACCTGGAGATCATTAGTAATAGTGGGAGGTCTCCAGCAACCCTAGCATTGATGCACCCAGCAAGGCGGCTTCGGCCCACAGAAGCTCATGCCACAATAGCTTCATTAACCTTCAAGATACCACAATAGTGTTTGTTCTTCTTCTTCTTCCTGTGATTTTCTTGTTTGTAGGAGCAACTAGTGTGGAAATAACTTATACTTGTCCACTTGTACATTAGTCAGTAAGATCAGGTAGTTTCTGGCTTTCCCACATAGCCAGGCTTGGCTCATGAGTAGAAATTGGTAGGAATCCTTGCCACATTGTGATTTATTTTACAAATAAGCTTCCAGTATGTGGTGCTTGCACCTGCTGTAATCCACAGCTGAATGCTCTTTTGGGTCAGGATGGTGGGCTCTTTCCAGGTAGCCTTCCCGGGTTCATGCTGCAACTGTTACGAGCCTACAGTCCTGCCAATAGCACTGGCTTCCAAATCAGCCATGCAGCAAACAAAAGGGCAATGCACTTGGATGTTCAGGCGATCTGCTGGCAGTCATAAATTAATGCAGAAAACTAAATCCAAGGACTCCTCCACCCTCATTCTCTTAGGGGGATGCTCATAAGGGATCCTCCCCTCTGGGTATTAATCACCTTGCAGATGCCATTACTGTTTATGCAGCCACGCTGAGCAGAAGCCATTTATCTGGCTGCAATTAGACGCTACAAGAAAGCGATCAGCCCAGAGCTGTTGAGATGGATTAAAATAATTCCTTATGCACTTGTCAAAAACCTGCATCCCCTTTCCCAACACCCCATCAAGCAGTTGACCTTCACACTCCCCCAAGGCTGCACACTGTATCACTGTAAACTAGCTGTCATGATTCTTTCGCCATGAGGATGTGAAATAACAAAGTTGCTTCGCGAGACGTAAAAGCCTCCAAAGCAAAAATCAGCCTCCGCTTCTATGACTTCCAGCCATTTCCACGCAGCATCCGTCTCTCCACACACAAGTTTTAGCAGAAATACGGGAGGCTCATGGAAGGAAGTCATTTTAAAGCTATTTGTGTTTTTGCCAACGGGATTTCTTTGATTTAGAAAGCATGAAAGATTGCAGTGGCTTAGTCCGTAGTGGATGAGCTATTTCCCGTGTTTTTCTCAAAGGAAGTTCATGAGGTGATAAATTTTAGTCTAAAAGTAGGGGGGGGAGGGGGAGTAGATGGCTTTTCTTCTTTCCTACAACTGTGGTTTTTTTTATTTTTAAAGAGCATCTCTCCCTCCCCCTTGTCTCTTCCTATAGGATGGGTCGTAGGATCTCTGGAAATCCTTGGAAGCCCTGCCAGCTTGGTCAGAAGCATAGGAAACGGGATAGCTGATTTCTTCAGGCTCCCATACGAAGGACTAACTCGTGGGCCTGGAGCCTTTGTGAGTGGTGTTTCCCGAGGAACCACATCCTTTGTGAAGCACATTTCCAAAGGTAGATATTTCCATCTGCTACTTATCTGGCTGCCCACTTGTCACAGTTTCCTAAAGAAAGCACTGGTTTTTTAATGTCAACTTGCTGTCCTCAAATATGTCTTACCTTTTAGTGAAATGTTGGGAGGGTAACAAATCTCAGTTTACCCTCTATGTTTATAAACAGGTAATTTCTTTAACAGCAGCAGCACAGGTACACTGGCAATTTAAGCTTTTCTGTCTGCCCACAGGAAGATGAGCAGAGACCTTAAAGAAGTTTAGTACTTGGGCTGTACTCAGCAAGCCTACCCCATACTGTCTCATCATATGTAATCTTTAAAAAAAAAATTGGGCGCTGTTGAAAGTTTTGCCAAACACGTTTTTAGAGCAAGCATAAATCTGGATTTTTCTGGACATAGATACATTCACAGTGCCATCTTGTGGCTGCAGGGGCCCACTGCAAGATGCTGAATGTCCAAACGGGAGAAAATAATATTTAACCAGCACTTTAGAGCAAAGAAAGAGGTTTTCGTGAGGACACATTTTGTGAAGTTGCAGCTGCCCTTCTCTATTTCTGCAACTGGCATGTCTGTCTATTTGGTGTCAGCTGCTGGACAAATGATAAAACATTACTGACGAAGCAGCTTATATTGTTCTCCTCTCTTCCGTTTTATCCTCGCAACAACCCTGTGCGGAAGGTCAGGCTAAGAGTGTGCAGCGGGCCCAAGTTCACCCAGCAAGCTTCCATGGCAGAGTGGGGATTCAAACCTGGGTCTTCAAGACCCTAGTCTGACACTCTGACCACTTCCACTGCTGGCTGTCTTTTAAGACGTAAGGCTGGGGTGCAGTGTCCCCTCTAAGCTGAGTTAGTGTGAGCAAGCTCACAGTTTTTTAGCCTCCGGCTCACACATTTTTTGTCTTAGCTCATGAAGGACGGCTCCAGAGCAAACTAATTTATGCAGCGGCCAAATCACTCGCTCACAACTTTAATACCAGTAGCTCACAAAGTAGAATTTTGGCTCACAGGACTCCACAGCTTAGAAGGAACTTTGCTGGGGTGGCTGTGTAAAACCCACACTGTGCACCACTCAACATACTGTCGCGTCTTGAACTAATGATACATTTCTGCTTCACAGGACTAGCTTGTGCAGATGAATATACTACAGTGTACTGTTTCAAATAAGCTATATCGTGCAAAGTCTTAAACCAATGGTCGTTATGCATTTCCAACCCATTTCTATTTAGGCACACTGACGTCAATTACCAACCTGGCTACCAGCCTTGCTCGGAACATGGATAGGCTGTCACTGGATGAGGAGCACTATAACAGGCAAGAAGAATGGAGAAGACAGCTCCCCGAGAATCTGGGAGAAGGACTGAGGCAGGGCCTCTCTCGGTTAGGCATCAGCCTTCTAGGTAACAGATGTCTGAAACGATTAAAAATTTAATCAAATAAGTATTGTTCGGGGAGACGTGGACATGCAGATCTGAACCGAAGTACCCATTATTGTAGCTTCAAAGTGTATTTTCTTATTTTTAGGCTGTATTTTGGTTACACTGTTTGGGTGGAGAGTTGTTGCACAATTTAGTTTCTCTCCCCCCCCCCCCCAGTTCATATTCTTTGGGTCCAGGAACTTTTTCAAATGAATACTCATGCAAGGCTTAACTGTTGCCATGTTAAGGGAACACACTCCAGGGAACGAACCCAGCTGTCGTTGTGACCAGGCAAAGTGAAGACAAAGTCAGGGAAAAGGCAAAAAGTGAAGCTATAATAGGAACAGCAGCAATCTGCTTGTTTATTAGACCAGTGTCAAGCTCAAATTGTGAAGGGGGGGCACATGGAAGTTGCAGGGCCTCTGAAGAAGTGGGATAGACATGATTCCAGTGAAGACTGAAGTACTGAAGCAGGTGGAACCTTCCACTAGTCAAACGCTGGCTAATCAAATGCCCTGTAGACATAGAACTCTCACACACACACGCTGGACATGAAGGTAACTGCAAACCCACTATTCCATTATCCCATCCTGATTTGGAAAATGAAGCTCTGGGCTGGAAGACCCATCACTTTAATAATCTATGTGTGGCTTTAGGAAAGGGCCAGACATGTCCTATTCTAATAGTCCTCTTTAAAAACCAGTGCCAAATTAGTGTCCTAATCTACTAATAATCACATGTCCCAGCAATGGCATCTGAGCATCTCCACACCTGTGGAACAGAGTATTTATGTTGGGATGAGGATGGGGGACAGAAGGTAGAATAAATTCAGAGAAGTGATGGTTAAAAGGCTTGACAGAAATGGGCTCAGGCCAAAGAGCCGGCCCTGGGCCCTGACCAGATGGAAATCAACAGAAAAGAAGGCAGTTGGGTTTTCGCATAGCACTTTCATTGTTCAGCAATTTTCCCACGAGTCTAGCCAGCCACCCTGTACATCTCCCATCCTGTTCTATCCTTCCATCTTGTAGTTTCTGGTGTGTGCAGGGACCAAATCTCCTCCCAGCATATTCAGGAACCCAGATTAAGGACGCATTGTCAATCTGAATCGACAGAAGAGATGGTCCTAATTTTAAGGCACTGTTAATACCATTCCATGCTCTGCAGGAATAATTGTTCACTAGCCATTAAGTGTAAATAGAGTTGGACATACAGTACAGCCAACAAAAGCAAACTGCACATATAAAAACAATTATAAAGGAGTGATTTTTTTTCTTGTTAATCATAATTATGGAAATTTAGAATGTGTCCATATATCTGCCTGTCATATATAGTTAACACTGCAAAAAAAGATTTTTGTACTTGGGCTTCTGAGTCAAACAGGTACGAAAGCACTGTCATTCCAGCATTCATTTTTTATGTTAATAGGAAAACCTCCAAAATTGGTTATTTCCTTTACATCATAGATAGCTTAGGTGACCGAGTTTGTTCTTTGACACCCGTGAGGACAGGACAAACTTCAGTTCTATAAAAATTTATGTAGCAAAAACAGTCACAGAGTATTTGGCAGCAGCCAAGAGACTTGTCTGGGAGAGAAAAATCTCTACTGCTATTTAACAATCAAGTTTTAAAACTAACCAGATTGAAAGAATTTCTGAAAGAAAAGTAGGATTTTGGACTAAACTACCTAAGAAGCCACAAGTTTGGGAAATGCATCTGTGTCTTAAACTAGCAAAAGAATGCCAATTTATCTTGTAATGTTTTCATGTGAGACAACGTAACATCCTGTGCATTTCAGATACCTTGACATGAATATTTAGAAGTGATGAGAGCTTGAATAATTTTTTTTTAAAAATAGTTAATTTTCAGTGCCACACGCAAATTCAGTCTAGGGGCAGAAAAATGTGGCACAGAAGCAAGGGACCACTGTCCAGAAGAGTAGTCTGTGTGAAATCCTTCCCCCCCCGCCGCCCTCTGGCACCAGATGGCACAGTTCCATTCCCTTCCAGCCAGAGATATGGGCTGATTCTGCACTTGTCTGTTCCCCCACAGTTTGTCTGCAGCCATGTTAGAAGCAGAATCTCCCTCCACATTGCATCCCACTCTCACTTTCCTCCTGCATCGCAGCTCTTTCCAGATTCTGCACTGTTTTATGGTCATTCGGAGGTGACTTCGCAATCATTATGGCATTGCCCCGGGGTATCTGAAAATGGTTTCTCCCCGGACCTTTTTGCTCTTCAGCTTCTGATTCAGAGGGAATAATAAGCAGACTACTTGATGCGTTTTTTTTTGTCATCTCTGCCCATTCCCCCATCCCTATTTCTGCTTCTATTTTGACACTTCTAGCTTGGGGGAGGGCGTTTGACACACTCCTCAATCCTTTGTACATTGGCCCCTAGGAAGGGATATTTTCCCCTTTCCCCTTTCCCCAAAGCCAGTCTGCAGACAACTTGGAGGGCAGGTAGAGGGGGAGCCTGGGGAGGTCCCCTGGGAGTTTGACACTTCTAGCTTGTGGGGGGGGGGGCGTTTGACACACTCCTCAATCCTTTGCACATTGGCCCCTAGGAAGGGATCTTTTCCCCTTTCCCCAAAACCAGTCTGCACACAACTTGGAGGTCAGGTAGAGGGGGAGCCTGGGGAGGTCCCCTGGGAGTTTGACACTTCTAGCTTGTGGGGGGGGGGCGTTTGACACACTCCTCAATCCTTTGCACATTGGCCCCTAGGAAGGGATCTTTTCCCCTTTCCCCAAAACCAGTCTGCACACAACTTGGAGGGGGGTGTATTAAAAGGAATGACAGGATTGCCCACTGGAAACAATGGGAGAGGCTTGAAGGCACATTTGTGTTTTTTTAAAATAAAACACTTGGGGCGCCACCCCTCCCAACAGACCAGCCAGCCGCTGTGCCAGCATCCCCCTGTGGGTCGTGCATACCTGGAGTAGCCCAGCGGCAGCTAGCCAAAGGGGTTGGGAGAGCAGGGAGGAGAGGAGAGAAAGGGGAGGGTGCAGCATGCCCCATCCCTTGCTTACACAGTTGGCCAAGTCGGTGGCAATTGGACACCTCCTTCACAGGTCACAAGTGATGTTAACCACAATTAGGCAAAAAAAAAGGTGGGTTTTGGTTGTAGATGCAGAATGCATACACAAAAATAAACTGGAGAAAAAAGAATAGTGCAGAGGGCAGGAGCACAAAAGACGAAGTTGACCTTAAAGGCTCGACTGCTTGGCTTCTCCAGAGTAAGCTACAGTGAGCTGTTAGTGCAGAAGGGACCAATGAGCAGGGCTGGAGGGAGGAAGGGTAGCAGAAGCATAGCAGGACACATGTTAAGTGGCGTCATGACATGTTATGGGATGAGAACTAAACACAGAGATGTCGCCCTCCACAGCAACCCCAAATTTCTCTTAACATGTAGTTCTGCCCTGCAATGAATTGATGGCAGTATAAACTGGGTTGCTTTTTGGGGAAGATGTTTCATGGCATGACATAGCTTGAGGTGCCTTCCCTTGAAAGATGCCCATATACTAGAAAGCAGATACCCTGGAAGAAGATGCAGATATACAAGAAAATGCCTATGACCCCAAGTTATGATGATCTGAAATACCTAAGAATCCCCATACTCTGGGAGGTTCTCCTGTGGAAGCCTTGCTGAAGTGAATGGAATCAGTAAAATAAGAGCACGTCCTTTGCCTAGTTAAGTGGTTGCCTGGGCGTGTGTGCAACTCTAAAGACTGTATGAAACGACACTGGTATTTAACACAGCACAGATTTCTGTTTAAGCAACAATAACAGGGGGCACAAGGAAAGAATTAATATTAATATATACAAATTGTATTAATATATACACATTAATGCAGACCCTGCTTACACTACCAGAACGCACACCACAGTTCCAGAGGACTGAACTGAACCAGCTTCTCTGCGTGTCCGCTCTATGGTGGGAGAGGTGCCAGAGTTAGGGCCCAAGCTCCCGACACACAGGAGAGCTGCTTAATTTATCTTGCTCTAGAGATTTCCTCAAAGCTTCCCATTATTTGAGCACTCTTGACTTTGGCTTGTGGAAGTGACATGAAATAGAACACTGGAGCCTCCTCCGTTCTTCAAGGGGTCAGATGTTGCGCTGGGAATCTGAAGTTATTGCTCTCCTGCTTAAGCATTCCAGATTGCTCCTTGTTCTTAGTTGCTGCCTTTACTCAAGATACAGAAGAACATTAGTTTACAAGTTGGCTTTGACTGCAGTTGCCTGCACTGTTTTACTTAAAACAGAATGAGGAACTTATCCCCTGTCTCTCTCATTCTGTTTACAAATTCTTTTTTGCTGAAATAATGCCCACTGTTCTGAGTCACGGGGGAGGGGGGGGAACCAATTAACCATCTAAATAAATATCTGCAACTTCACTGTAATGTGAATGAGCAAGTGCCCAGCTTGTATATTACAAGTGAGGGATTGGCAGTCACAGTTCATTGTAGACATCAAGCTTTATTAACAGTTGATAGCATAAAAAAAGCACAAACACTGCATGCTTATGAAGTTATGTAAACAATTGGCTGTTGGTACAAGAGACCGTGAAACATCCCTATGCACTCTTGCCATGTCTGCACCAGATTCGCTACCTCTCTCTTTTTTTATTTTTATTTTGAGCCCCCGGACGGGATTTTCTATTATTTTTTATAAGACTACAAAAACTACTACAGAAAAAAGGGAAGGGGGACTACATATATAGGATAAAGCAAAGAACCAACTACTAACTAAAAACCCAAGAGATGAGATCCTCACTAGCTTAGTTACAACAAATCTTCATTTCGTTTAGATTATTATAAACTGAGTCAAACATTTATAATACTTTTCCTTTAACTCTTAAATTTAACTGTCTAGGAACAGTACCCCCAGTCATCCCATTTCAAAGTTCTCAAAGGCACAATTCAGAGCCCTTCAGCCTTCACTTCTCCTTTCCTCGTCTCTTCCGCAGCTTATAAGGACTTTTGGGGGCAGCTGCCCCTTGCTCTGTCAGAGAGTCCTCTCCGGAAGAACCCAAGTCCAGCTCGCCACTAGACTTGCTGTCCTCTTCTTTTTTTCCGTCCTCTGGTCTTCCCAGCTGAACCCTTAGGAAGATTCTCTACCTCTCTTGATGGCGCTCTAATATCACGGTGACATTGAACATGCTGATTTGTCGCCATGACCATATAACTGCCGTCACAAAGAAGCTTGAGGTTGCGTCACATGAGGAAAACAGAACATGTTTATCTTGTTTGAGGGAATGTCTGTTAGTATTCTTTGCCCTTTTCCAGCTTCCACATAACAGGTTGGACAAATTCCAGGAAGATAATGTTTTTCTGCAGAAAATTTTGGTAGGGGGGAATATACCCAGTGGATTGGTGCAACCTTAAATGGAATCTAAATGGCTTAATGGTCAGAGCTTCAGCATAGAGCCCCAGGGTTAAAAAGGAATGGGGATCTCTAAATGGCATTCACCCCCAAGCCCTTCTTCAAATTCCTTAGGCTTGCATAAGGAAAGTTGGTGGTTGTTGTTGTTCAGTTGCACAGTCGAGTCTGACTCTTTGTGACCCCATGCCAGCCCCACCCACCCCGTCCTTGGTTGTCCTCCAGAGTTTGCTCAACTTCATGTTCGTTGCCTCGATAATACTGTCTAACCATCTCATCCTTCGCCGTCCCCTTCTTCTTTTACCTTCAATCTTTTCCAGCATCAGGGTCTTCTCCAGTGAGTGCTCCCTTCTCATTTGGTGGCCAAAGTATTTGAGCTTCTGCTTCAATATCTGGCCTTCCAGGGAACAGTCAGGGTTGATTTCTTTTAGGTTTGACTGATTTGATCTCCTTGCAGTCCAGAGGACTCTCAAGAGTCTTCTCCAGCACTATAATTCAAAACAATCTATTCTTTGGCGCTCAGCCTTCGTTATAGTCCAACTCTCACAGCCATACATGACTACTGGGAATACCATTGCTTTGACCATGAGGACTTTTGTTGGCAGGGTGATGTCTCTACTTTTTATTATGCTGTCAAGGTTTGCCATAGCTTTCCTCCCAAGGAGCAGGCATCTTTTAATTTCATGGCTGCAGTCACCGTCTGCAGTGATCTTGAATACCAGGAACGTGAAGTCTGTCACTGCTTCCATGACTTCGCTTCTATTTACAAAGGAGTGATGGGTCCGGATGCCATGATCTTAGTTTTTTTGATGTTGAGTTTCAAGCCAACTTTTGTGCTCCCCTCTTTCACTTTGAACAAGAGGCTCTTTAGGTCCTCTTCACTTTCTGCCATTAGAGAGGTATCGTCTGCATATCTGAGGTTGTTGATCTTTTTCCCAGCAATCTTAATTCTGGCTTGTGATTCATCCAGGCCGGCATTTCGCATGATGTGCTCTGCATATCAATTAAATACGCAGGGTGACAATATACATCCTTGTCGTACTCCTTTTTCTATGCTAAACCAATCCGTTGTTCCATATCCAGTTCTGACTGTCGCTTCTTGACCCTTATACAGGTTTCTTAGAAGACACGTGAGGTGGTCTGGTACTCCCATCTCTTTAAGGACTTGCCACAGTTTGTTTTGATCCACACAATCAAAGGCTTTAGCATAGTCAATGAAGCAGAAGTAGATGTTTTTCTGGTAGAGCCACACCTAAAAAAACACACATCAATGGGAAGCACCTTCACTGGTGGAAGGGATCCACTGTATCCAACCCAACGTTTTTACAAGTTTAAGTTCTCTCTCCCCCTTGCCCCAGTTAGCAGCAGCTCAGTACTGCAGTTTCTTATGGGCATCATCAAAGCACCCTGTGTGGCACAGACCTTTGAAGGAAGAAGTCCTTGCGACAGGCAGCCATTCTCTCTCCATGTGGCAACAGTGTGTGGTTGTGCTTTGGGGAGGGCACATCACATCATAACACAACGAATTACTAGCAAAGTGGAGGCATCCTATAAAAATATCAGTGGCCCTGGTCTCCCTGTGTCAGTCACACAGGCCTGCTCCAGCCTTCTCCCTCCAGGCTTACTAATAGGAAAGAAGAGCCTGGAGTCAACAGAAGGCATTTATTAGTACACAATAACATAGTTCGAGTGCTTTGCAGAAAAGAATGTCCTTATTCAAGCATTAAGGATGTTTAAATGTATTTAATAAGGTAATAAAGTCTGTGCAGTCTCTGTGGCTGATAGAGTGAAAGATGACAGCGGAGTAACATAATTTTGCCACGGGGAAGAGCACAGAATGGGCTGTTTTGGTCTTCAGATGGATTGCTGTGGTAGCCAAGCCAACGGAAAGATGATGAAGTTTTGTTTTGCAAAGAGGAGCTGATTTACTTATCAATTTAAAGCTGGCAGACAGTAGGAACAATTAACTGCAGAAGAGGCAGAATTTCAGCAAAAAGCAAAGCAACTCCCCCCCCCCCCCAAATAAAATAAAATGCTGTCTGGAGCCATGTAATGAAACCCGGCCGGCCTCTTCTCTGACTCTGCAGCGCATCTCCTTTGCAAAGTGCTTTTTGGAGAGGTTTAGGAAATTTGTGTTCAAGCTTTCCCCCTGAAACTAATTCCCACAATTGCTTTTATCCTTCTCGTCAGTGTTCCAGATTAACGTTTACCTCAAAGACCTGAGCCCTGTGAAGAATGAGAAAAGAAGTGCAGGATCCACTGTGGAGCAGTGTTCCCTCTAAGCTGGTTTAGTGTGAGCTAGCTCACAGTTTTTTAGCCTCAGGCTCACACATTTTTGCCTTAGCTCAGGAAGGATGGTTCCAGAGCAAACTAATTTATGAAATCGCTTGCTCACAACTTTAATGCCAGTAGCTCACAAAGTAGGATTTTTGCTCATAAGGCTCCACAGCATAGAGGGAGCATTGCTGTGGAATGTATGTATTTAAAGAAGCTTTATGAGCCACACGTCTGCTCTTGGGTAGAACTGCCTCCATCGGGATTAACTCTGTGGCTCTGATAGACTGCCCCAGAATAAACTTGAGTCTCAGCAGCCAGTGTATATCTGGGGAGAAAATCCCCTTTTAGCACTTTTCGCAGTGTCCAGATCTGGGTTTGTGAGATAAATATTAAGCTGGCACACTGAGGATAAGGGGTGAAAGCAGTTACTGTGGGGATTTAGTTTCATATTTCCTAACTGGGTAGCCATTCCCATGTATGAAATTGTATGTGCCTCATACATACATAGTCATGTATCATGGAGGCATGTGTCCATTTTACTGCGCATACATGCTATAAAATACATATGTTCATATATGTAGTGAACACACAGTTTTCTATATAGGCGTGATAGCTGAAAAGAAAATCATCAGATGCTACATTCTAAAAGGTGGTTGTCAGGGAAGAAGTTTTCTCTATAGGGTTAAGGATGGAAGAAATGTCAGTTAGGTCCTTCCGCCACCCCATAGTGTTTCACAAGAACGCCACCTGCAGTCTCTGCTTCCACAGCCCTTTTATTTGTTCACAGGCCGTTTCTATTTTGAAAACTGGACCAGTTAAGGGGATGTTCTTGTATCGTAGCCACCAGTATGCTACTAGGGTGTGTTTCTCCCGCCCTATCTGAAGAGCTTTGTATATCTCTAGTCTCTTAGCATATCTCTAGTTTTATTTTATAGTCACAATACATGTGTGAAAGAAGTTATTACGCATGCGGAAGATTACCTTATGAGCTTCATGGCTGAGCAGAGCTGTTTGTTTTTATACCTGGCTGCCTCCCTCTCCCAAAATACTGTTCGTTATGTTCAGGGGCAGCCAGTATTTCTCCGTACCAACTATGTTGTATCATTGCAAAGCTGAAATCAAAATTCCATTTGATTGTGTGTGTTTGTGCGCGTGCACGCATCCTGCAAGTGCCCCATTTTCTCTTGTCCACTTAGGTCAGGACCAAATAAATGTCCCTTCCAGACAAGCTATTTGATCTTGGTGTTTGTGTAAAGACCCTGCAAATTGGTGAGGTCGGCAGACTTTACTTAGTGATTTCCTCTGTGCTGAATAACGACCTTGAGCCCAGGCAGTTCAGATTCCAATTGCTGTCACATCACACCTTGTCACTTTGTTCAATCATTGTCCTTTTAGTGAGTTCCAAATAGCTTATTCATCAAAGTTACAACAACTGGAGACATGTCTGTGGTAAGTGGCTTGAGTAAACTTAAGATCAAAGAGAGATCCCACCTTACATACCTGTTTACATTTAGGAAGATTTAAACTGCAGTCCTGTGTTGATACTAAAAGCCGGAGGGGTCATTAAGGCACTTGTAAAAGTTTGACCCATGCGCATTAAAGTAAAATATGGTTGTGTTCACAAAGACAGTAACAAAAGGTTCCAAAGCCTAATTCTGCTAAGCTTGGTAATATATCAGAGGTCGCATTAGTTTATGAGCATTTCTGGCAATGGAAAGGGGATATTAAAATGATATATGGAACACAGACGATTTTTTTTCCTTAGGAAGTCAATCTTAGGCTTACATACAAAATCTCATTTTCATAACAGCCAAAAGTCTCTCTGCTAGCAGACATTCATTCCAATCTAAAATATACAATTCTACCAAGTCAACAAACCTTCTTAGGCAAGCAAGCACCTCAGAGAAGAAATTGCATTATGAAGACAGAAAGTTTAAACATTTATATGACTGAGAAACACAAGGCAGGATAAGCAGAAGATAAGACCTTTCACTGAGTTATTCTGTATAGCTATACTGAGCTTATATTGTTCAGCTTTCACTCCAAACAAAACTCCCTGTTTCAAAGCTAAGTTTTCCTCTTTTTCTAGATTTTTTATGCTTCTGTAATACTTGAAAACTCTTGTTACAGGTGCGATCGCTGGTATTGTAGATCAGCCAATGCAGAACTTCCAGAAAACATCAGAGGCCCACGCTTCAGCTGGACATAAGGCCAAAGGTGTTATCTCTGGTGTAGGAAAAGGAATAATGGGAGTTCTTGTGAAGCCCATTGGAGGAGCAGCTGAACTAGTCTCACAGACTGGATATGGTAGGTTTTCTTGACTTTACAAATGCACTATGAACTGATTTCAGGAATCATTTCCTGGGGCTGCCAACTGGTAGGAGACTTACCTGGGAACAGCCCTCACCAGTGATGTCATGACATCACCAGTGACCCCATGACATCACTTCTGCCACAACCCCAAATGACATAATTGCATAGGGGTGACACTAACACTTGTCCCAGGCTCTACGGTTTAACCATAGAATTTGGGGAAAATGCTAGAGTGTCACCCAACATGATGGCATCCCTTAACAGGTGACATCGGAAGTGACGTGGTGTTGGCAAAACACTGATCACCCCTGCCATCTTCCCCCACTGCCCAGCTGGGTGGCAGTGGGCAGCAAGGGGTGGGAGGTCTCCTGCCAAAGCAAGTGACCTGGCCTCTCTATAGACACAAGCTGTAAAGTCACGCTGATGATCAGATGAAATACTCAACTTGGAGGGACAAGGGACTGGTCAAAACCATGCACGCATGCCTTGTACAAGTGCAGCAAGTTTGATTAATAGAGCAAAAGCTCCCACAAGGGGATGTTGTATGATTCCCTCTTCTTGCTGCAGTCTTCTGTGTGCCCTCTTGTTGATAAGGATTCCCTAGCCCTCTTCAGCAGCTTTACATGGGGAGGGAACAGGGGACCACTGTGGCAAGGAAGGAAACATCCACTTTGCAGATTCTCTCCATCCAGTCTATAGACTTACTTATGGTTTTTAGCCTTTTTTCTGACAGACTGTTTGAGTAACAACACTTCTAATAGGTAAGAACATAAGAGAAGCCAATATCAGATTAGGCCAATGGTCCACAGTGGCCATCACACAGTGGCTAAAAATACCAGGTGCCATCAGGAGGTCCACCAGTGGGGCCAGGACGGTTGAAGCCCTCCCACTTTTGTCCCCCCCCCCCCAAGCACCTAGAATACAGAGCATCACTTGCCCCAGACCAAAAGATCTATACCTTGTGGCTAATAGCTACTGATGGTCCTCTGCTCCGTATGTTTATCCAATTCCCTCTTCAAGCTGTTCATGCTTGTAGCCGCCACCACCTCCTGTGGCAGTGAATTCCATGTGTTAATCACTCTTTGGGTGAAGAAGTACTTCCTTTTATCCGTTCTAACCCAACAGCTCAGCAATTTCATTGAGTGCCCATGAGTTCTTGTATTGGGAGAAAGGGAGAAAGGTGTTGTATATATAATAGAACTTGTGTTGCTTTTGGATTTTATATGAAATAGAAGCATGGGCAAAATTTGGGTGTGCATTATGACAAAATCCGTTTCCAAAACTGTAGGGGTTGGAGCTTTAGGACTCTGGTCAGACACTTTTTACATTGCCTGATGTAAGCAATAATTAAATATTGCAAGGCACATGATGCTGCATGACTGAGGAAAACATGCATGTGCAAAGAATTCAGCGTACATGAAAGAAATATGACAGAATCCTCAACTGTTGTGTAAGTAGGACCCAAGAGAACTGGATGGGCAAGGCAAATGTTTTGCATAAACCATGGTGGATCACACAACTAACAGATTCTGTAGCAGCATGTCTGTTGGGAATTTCTCACAGCTCGAATAAGTTGTTTAAATGTATAACATTTAATAATAAAACCATTAAATACCTCCTTGCTACTAGCCACTAAGAGTTAATCCAAAGAGGAAATTCAGCATGTCTACAAGATGGTCAGACATTAGCAGTTCTCCAGCAGATGGGTTCCATAACTTTGAACCTGCAAAAGATAGCTTGTCTTTCAGCGCTGCCATATCAACATGGATTGCAAATTGTATAATCTGTGCACTGGGCTTCTAAATGCTGGACAATTCAGGTAGGGAGGGGACAGCTGCTAATATAAGGGTCACCAAGCTGGCCTTCCCTACCTGAATTGCTTAGAGTTTCCACAGCTGTCAAGCTAAGCCAGGATGCAAACTGCAGCATCTGCTCCGAAGGGTGGGTGGGGATGGGAGGGACACAGTGAGGAATACTCTTGAGTTTTCCTGTGTCAGATAGCTGATTCATCGTGTACCAAGCTAACCACTTACCCTGCTGTAGCCCTGTGGACGTAATTGTTCCAGTAATGATTTAACAGAGAATCATTAAATCAAGGAATCCGAGGACTTGCAAATACTTTCAGTTCTACTTGCATAATGTGAGAGTTCCATTACTTTTAATGGGGTCAAAATTTCCCTCCTTAAAAGGTGACTCACTGACCACTTACACTGGCTTAGTCCCAGTTAAGCTTTTAGATTTCCATTAACTAAATCTTTGGACACCATTTACACCCAAAAGGTTGTACAAAGACTAACCACACTATCTCTCTACTGGTCTCTTGCATGCCTTTTTAAGCACTGTAGGGGCAGCAACCATGTCTGTGCATCTCCCTAACATTTTCCACTAAGTATATTTGGAAAAATAATGTGTGTGTGAGTGTAAATTTTGTGTAAAAAATTTACAAGCCAGTGTACAGATCACTTTTCAGCTTGATTCCAGGGACAACTGAGCCTTCAAGGATAAAGTGGGGTAAACCAGTCCCTTTGGAGCCTACAAGAAAGTAGCGCGAAGCGGAAGATTCAGTTTGGTGTAGTGGTTAGGTGCGCGGACTCTAATCTGGGAGAACCGGGTTTGATTCCCCACTCATCCACTTGCACCTGGCTGGATGGCCTTGGGCAAGCCGTAGCTCTGATAAGAGCTGTTCTTGAAAAAGAGCAGTTTCTGTCAAGAGCTCTCTCAGCCCCACCTACCTCACAGGGTGTCTGTTGTGGGGAGGGGAAGGGAAAGGAGTTTGTAAGCCGCTCTGAGACACCTTTGGGTAGTGAAGGGTGGGATATAAATCCAATCTCTTCTCTTCTTCTTCTTCTATATGTTGCAGGCTTTCTATGTGGTTATGGGTTACATATTGTCTGTCGATGGGGGTGGGTGGGGAGATAATCATTCAGAGATGAATTCCAGTGCAAGCAATGGCTGGGATCCAGGGAACTATTTTAGTGTGCAGTACTCCATGGGAATTTTGACTTATTTTTAAAATTGTAGACCCCATAACCTGTCCCAGATTGCTTCTGAGACTCCTCTGACTTTGAAAAGTGGTTTGCAATGCATCATGGGGGCTGAAGCTCAGAAAACCTGCCCCAAACTGCCTTGGGCTAACCAAATGGCGGCAGTTTATTGGATCCTGGCCAATGCATGCAACACATGGTGCTTTCTATGTGCATTTGACAAGAGAGCTGTGGAAAAGATGCACAACATGCTTTGTCAATAATATATGACAGCGCATGAGTGAGTAATTTAGCTCCATCTAGACTGCGGATTATGCCCAAGGGTGAGAACTAGAGGGTGGGAGACCACACAGAAGCCAACACATGTTCTCTCTTTCTCCATCTGCAAATGTCATTTTCGTTCACATAACGTCAAAAAAAAAAAACCCCTCAGTAAGCTAATTGTTACAATTGGAATGCATTTTCTTAAGCATTACCATCAGTCTGTGTGCTAAATATTAAGCCGTATTTTCCCCGACAAAACCAATGCATTATTTAATTTGGTATTCATTGTATAAAAAAGGCTCCTGAATTGCTGACACCCTGATGGAGAGACGCCTCTACAGTGTCACAGGAGTGTGCAATTTGTTAAGCCCACTCTCCTCCCCCACGTGCCCCCTCTGCTTACATAGGAGTGCTCCAGTTCCGTGTCCTGTAACTCCGCAGCATCAGGCTTAACCTAGTTTCGATCAGTCTTGTAAAAAAATTTTATTATATCTGTGAAGTTTTTACACCCTACTAATTCTCAGTCTAATGACCATGCCTTCATTTATAAAAATTTACAAGCCATCGGGAAGCGCGTATGCCAGGTCACCCGTCAGCTCTGGCAATCCTGCTTCGAACAAACAGGAAAAGAAGCAGCTCAGCAGAGCTCTGCCTTGGCACCAAGAAACACTCCTCATATTCCGGGTGCCCCAGGAGAGCTCGTAAACGTTTGGGATCCATGTTTAACAGCTGGACCCGAGTAACTTATGTTGAAATGCAGTATCCAGGGCAAGCTTGCCTTCTAATGTTTACTAATCATGACATAGACATAAAAGTATTTGAATACAAAGCAAGAAAGTTAACCAGTGGTCTTGAGTTTTTATGCATACATTGTTAAATGACGTCTTCAGTCCCATTCTGGAATGATGGCTCTCGAGAGCATTGTGTTTCCCCTTAATTGCTGGTATGTGACTGACGTCCTGTCTTTTGTTTATTTCAAGCTAATGCTAAGCTCCGCTAGGGGTTAAGTGCACAATTATTGTATTGTAATGTTGAACGAATTATCTCTGCTCCAGCCATCCAAAGATGTGACATCACTTTGGGATCTGCACTGTTTTATGGACTGCTCTAAGAAGATGACATCACTGCAACATGTTATTTGTTTTCCAAAAAGAACAACTAGTAAAAAGCCCGGCTTCTTTTACCACAGGTATTTTGCACGGAGCTGGACTTTCTCAGCATCCCAAACAGCGCTATCCTCCAAGCGATCCACATGCAGAGCAGGCTCCAAACAGCCACGTCAAATACGTCTGGTAAAGTTATTGAGACACTTGCTCGTTTTTTAATACCCACAATGTTTAATAATAGATTTTGGCCTGAGGTCAAGTGAACAGGCTCTTGCCTGAAGAAAGGCTGGGTTTACAACAGTTTGTTTAGTAATGCTGAATTCAAAGCTACACCACTGAGGCCCAGCTTTGCAAGGATGAGCTCCTTCTGAATTTAGAACCCCAAGGCTAGTCTGTGTTCCTTGAGCAAAAAATCTTCCTTAGCTCCCTTTGCCCTGAGCCCACGTACAGCATCTCTCCCAGAAATAGCTGCTAGTTCCTTTTCTGTATTTGATTCCAGCTTCTTAGGGTGGATTCTCCATTGGGATGAGAAGTGAGTTGGATGAAGGGAATGTGATTATTAGGTCAGCTTTGCAGCAGATTAACCATCTGTTTTGATAGTGTTACAAAAGAAGCACTGACATCCTTTTAATCTAAAACTGAAATTGAATTTGCAGAAACTGTGGTGCAGAATCTTCTTCCAGCTTTCAGCGTTACTGAGAAAGATGGTGAAACTGACCATATCCTTTGAGTTCCAAGTTCCTAATCTTGACTTATTCTTTAAACAGGAAAATGCTTCAGTCTCTAGGGAGACCAGAGGCCCATATGGCCCTGGATGTGGTAATTGTGAGTGGATCAGGCCAGGAACATGAAGGATGTCTGCTGCTTACTTCAGAGGTGCTGTTTGTGGTTAGTGTCAGTGAAGACACACAGCAACAAGCATTTCCAGTGACTGAAATAGAGTGTCTACAAGACAGTCAACAAAACAACTTGCTGAAGGTGCAGCTCAGACAGCAGAGAGTCCCTTGTGACTTGGAGGTAAAGCTAATTTAATGCTTTAACAGATACTGGGGAGGTGTTATTTTTTTTTCTCTTGAGTTGGCAGAGTGAAGATGGCTAATTTTGGTAAATCTGTGTTTAATTTTAGGCTGATGGAGGCAGAGAGAGACTGTCTGAACAACAGTATAACAGACTTGTGGACTACATCACAAAATCTTCCTACCATTTTGTCCCCAGCCCTGTATCCGTGCAAACTCCAGCACACGTTGTAGCTGCAGAGCCCATTCCTACAGCAGTTAAGACGTACCAATACCTTGTGGATCCTGTTTTTGCCCAAGTATTCATCAGTAAATTTACTACAGTAAAAAATAAAGCTTTACGAAAAGGGTTTCACTGAGAAAAGCCCTTTAGCAAGATTTGTGTTTCCACTTTAAAAGTGCGGTGTCTTCTATGCAGTTGCCTAATGTTAATTTTTTAATCCCACATCCCACAAAATAGACATATTTAAACTTTGTGGGCTAGTAGAGTGGAGTAGCACAATATTTTGTAACACAGGAATACACTTTCTGCGTAGCCTCTCTGGAATGTGATGGTGCCTGATCTCCACTCAAGAGGCAAACCTGCAGGAAATATTAAAGTGTTGTGTCAAATTTCGTAATGAGCTAAGCTGCCAAGTAAAGGGAAATGGAGAGCTCTGTGAGACGATTGTGAGCATCCTTTATCACTAGAAAATCAGCCATGTGGGGATAGGAGAAACAGGGCGCAGTGTGGTGTTCTTGCCCCACAAAGAATATCCCTGTTTGCTGTATCCTATTTTAAGGCCTGCCAGTTTCTGTTATAAGCAAGGTTTATAACTCAGCTGTAAAAACTTGCTCAGGGCTGAAACTTTCACTCTGAGCGCTCCATCCTATAGCAAAACATTTCCTCCCACTCACTCTGCAAGCCTTGAAGTGACTGTTTTAAGTTACTAGTGACAGCTGGGTTTTAGCACTGCTTGGATCTTATAAGAGCTTTCTTTATTTGACTGAAATTTTGCAGGACTTTAGTCCTTAATATAAACTAGTGCCTTTGTGTAGTTTGGAGAGCAAAATGGTAACTACAGCATTAATTTATTTTTGAAACTTCCTGCCTATAGTAATCTTACTTCCCTGTCATTTTTTTCCTTACAACTGTCTAAAGTTATATGCTGTTGGGGGGTGGGGGGTGGCGATACATAATTATGCAAGAAATGTTCCCTTAAATGTAATCAGTTTTTTTAATTTTATTTAGGGACCAGTAATATTCTTTTAAAAAATCTTTTGGAGCAGATTTCTCACTCGAGTGCACCGAAGCTAGATGAAATGCAGTCTTGTATTAGAGGTGCATTACTTGGAAGCCATTGAAAGTACTATGGTATGTGTTGTGCTTAGGAGTGTCACATTGGTCTCGCAGCAACTTTTGACCTAAATGTTAATCTTCATCATTAACTTCTGCACCCTGCATTGTTTGTCATTCTCTATGGGAGCATACTCAATGGAGAGCCAAGCAAAAGTCTCTTTTGCCAAATCTGTGCAGATCTGAATGCAGATCCATCCTGTACTTCATTGAGCAGCCCAGCAAGAATCCAGCCCACCACTCTCTTCTACTACGTCGGTCGCTTCCATGAGTATGCTCCAGACTTATTTTAATCAGAAAGGACTTACTAAATCATAACACTGAATTCCAGCAGCTTTGGCGTTCTCCTGCGGTGCTGCTTTTTTGTGACGAAGGTGTTTTCTTCCTATAATGAATGAAGACACCCCCCCTACTTTTAAAAGTCACAAAGAAGTGTTACTTGAGGACGGGGGCGGGGGGGGAGAACAATCCTTGCCTCCTTCATCACAGCTCCTACCAGTCCCATTTAAGACACCGCATAGAACAAAACCCAGTTGTAGATTGCTGAGAGGCTCACTCCCACCTTCTGCACACGGATGTGTCACTGGATCAGTTATCAGTCTAATCCAGTGGCTTCTCACCTTGGGTGCCTTCAGTGTTTGGCATCAGTTCCTCTGCACTTAAGAATTTTAGACCATATTGGGTGTTTTCAGATGACTGTTTTTAGAACAGGTGCTTCAAATTCAGTTTTGCAGTCTGGACTCAATCCCTGTTGCGATAACAGCTATTAGATTTATTCATGATGGAAATGGACTCAGTGAGTGTCAATTTGGGAAAAGGCACTTGGAGTGGGTTCTTGGCTATTGCCTGCTTCTGTGTGACAACTCTCGTTCTAAACCCCACTTCGCCTATTATTCCAGAAAATCCCAGCAAGATTTTAGAGGGCCAGGGGGGGGGGATTGGTGAAACCGCCCCCTTTGCTGGATGTGAAGTGACTTATAATAGCAGAAAGCAACCTTTACTTTGCATAGTACTCTGTGAATCCTATGCGAGGTACACTCAAAGTATGCTAAGTCAGGAACTGAAATGAACTCAAGCCCCTACCCTTTTCCATCTAATTGTCCCAGATGTCTCCTGTGCCTCCTTGGAACAGTCAAATACAGGAAATGAAGAATGTATTGATTTTGGTACGCTTCTTGTATCCCACCCCCCTTTTTTAAGTTGCCCCTGGCAGCCAAGTTTCTTGTGTTAAGTGAGCATTTCCCATGGTTAACATTTCATATATTAATCTGTCAAAATGGTCATTGTTTACCTTGAAAAAACACTATTTAAAAATAATTCATTCCTGAATCTTTTAAGGTAAATACAGAGTTATATTGCTAGTTTTATTTACTGATTGCGTATATTATTATTAATTCTGTACAAGAAAAATAAAATTTCTATATTTCAAGATGTACATTTTCTGATGACTGCAGAGACCAGCACATATCTGTTCCCAGAACCATTTTATTGCTCATTGTTTTATGCAACTTGAAGCAAGTGTCTAAATAAATCAACACATCTTTGCAAACTTTCTAGCAGTCTTTGCTGCTCTCCAACTAAGAAGGGATTGAATTATGAAACTGTGTAGCCAGCTAAACAATAGACAGAATTTTTTGGTACTTCAAGGTGTGCATTCCAAATTGCATTGAAACGCATTTATTGGAGAATGGTGCTTGAGAGGGGCACAAAAGGCACTCAGCTGGGAACTTCTGCCATGCCTCCTAGTCATGTATGCTGTGATCCTGTGTGCCTCAAAGAGGAAGATGTATCAAGTTGCCTAGTGCTTTGTGCTAATCCTACACTTGGACTGGGCTACCCACCGCAACAGTGCGTGTAAGGCCAGTTCGAGTTGTCGCTTGGTGTCTTGCAGGCATCAAGCGACACTAACAAGCTGCAGTTAGAAGTAGACCAAAAGAGCACATGTAAAAACACACTTAAGAGACTGGGAACAGAATGCATAGGCATTCTTAAGCGGTTTGCCACCCAGCTTTTTTTTTTTTTAAATTCTCTCTTTTCTAGAACAGTAGTGGTTTTTAGGATATTCTGAAGGACTGTGGCAGTGGGGTAGCCGATAGCTAAATTGAGCACCTCTGGGCCAATGTTCCCCCTAAGCTGTGGAGTCTTTTGAGCACAAATTCTATTTTGTGGGCTACTGGCATTAAAGTTGTGAGTTAACGATTTGGCTGCTGCATAAATTAGTTGGCTCTGGAGCCCTCCTTCCTGAGGTAAGACAAAAATGTGTGAGCCAGAGGCTAAAAAACTGTGCGCTAGCTCACACTAACTCAGCTTAGAGGGAACACTGCTCTGGGCAGTTACCAGCTCAGAGTTACAAAGGATGCCTATCACCTTTGAGTCCTAATTAGGGTTTCCACAGGCACCTGGGCAGCTCATTAGAAGCAGTGTTTGAGGCTTAGACCAACCATGCTGTGCTCTGGCAAAAGGCAATTCTGAAGCCTTACGCGAGACTCTCAGCAGCAGAAGGTAGTTTCTGCCCTTTGTGCCAGATGGACGTCTGCCATTCCCAGATGCAGCCCTTTGGGACCTGTAATTTTACAGCTTTCCTTGGAGCGTGACAAAAACTGTTCAGATTCTACTTTTGAAACTTACCTGTTCTCACAGTATGCATTGAGAGTGGAAAGGTCACAACCTCCAATCCATCTTTCTGTTTGTTCCTTGTTCAAGGGATTTTTTTTTAACTTTGTTTTTCTAACATCGTTAAAATATGATTGATTACTCTGGGATAACACAGTAGTGGAGTCAGCTGGAGTCCACTGAGGAAAGCCACTCCCTCTTATGTGTCAGAGTGGTTTCCTTCTATATGATATTGTACATAACTTTTACAGAGAGGTAAGGCCAAGCACTCCAGGTCACATGGGGACAGAGTGGAGGAATGTTGCCAGTTTGGGGGTAAAAGAAACTTAGAATGTCATAACATTCGTCCTACGAGAGGGCTGCAGCAGCTAACAAGGAGAGTTTGGCATGCCCTGGTTATGTGTCTTTTAGTAAGAAATGAATCTAGTTGAAACTTATTGGTCTACAAGACGAAATATGTAGACTAGAGTGGCTTTCTCTTCCTGAATAGTAAGACACAGGATTAATAAGGGGCTGGGAAAACTTTAGTAAAAACTGTATCCACTTCCCCACAATTGGCCACAATAGCTCAAACACATCCACAGATCAGTCTGATACTGTGCTTGTGTCAGATACCCTGAAAAAAGCCAGGTGTAGTCTTTACTTCCCACAGAACATTTTGGCCAGGAATCCAATGGCTGCAGAAAAACAAACCTTTTGCTTGTCATTGTTTCTCTGACATACAGAAGCACACAAGCAAAACACAATGACTGTGCTGTTCTGGACGGGCTGGCCCAAAATGTCCAGCACCTATGCATCTTTTGTGTTATATTAGCATTCCTTTTCATGTTACAGTGTGTGTGGTGTTAATGGGGTGTGCATTTCAGTTATATTTTGTTACTGTAGTTACAGTATTTTTCAGGCCAGCTGCTCTGCCATTGAATAATGATGATCAAGAGTACCCTAACACAGCAGAATACTGGTTTACAGAAATTAGTCTAAAAACTTCAGCTGACTGGAGCCTTACTCAGCTGGAAAGAGTTTAGTTATGGACAAGTGTTGCTAAAGTTCTAGAAGAACAAGTTTCTACCATACTACAATCCCACCAGCAGAGAACTGACCAGTTTAGGTAGAATCTACACCAACCCACCATCAGAACAGAAAAGTTAGTTGGGGGGGGGGGGGGTTAGTTCCAGCTATTTTTATTAAATTTTAAGAAAAGCTCATATCTTATTTGTGGTGCAACTTGAACCCTGCGAAGACAGTTCCCGATAGCTAAAAAGCCATTTCACTCCAGATACTGCAAATGAGATTATTCAAGAACCAGTACGTTCATTTAGCCTTAGGATGCATTGAGGGTATATTTGTTTACAGCTAGACACTTTCCTCATGTTCAAGATCAACAGGACTACTCTGTGTAAGCAGAAGGGAAGTATGAGATCTACATTAGTCTCTACATTAACTGTGTCTTCCTTGACCCTATCAAAAATGTCTGTAAAGTGTCCGGTTCTCACCTACTTCTTTGCTAATGTTAGTGATCTGGTCCATGGGGTCGCGAAGAGTCGGACTCGACTGTGCGACTGAACAACAACAACAAGGATGTTTTCATCTGGTTTGAGTTATCTGTACATTATACATAAATCCCAACCTTTTAAAGACAACAACACTTTCCCAGCCAGGCTCACAACATGTTTTAATTTGCATGTGTTAATCTTAGACTAATACTTTAACTTGATCAATCCTGGATTTTGCGCAAGTTAATTTATTCGTGAATACCTATCTTATGGGGGAGTGAGGGAACACCTCCATGGTTCTGCAGATCACATTACAGCTTTTAAATAAGAGCTTTAAAATGCAATAATTGCATTCTAGACTGATGGAGAATCATAGAATTACAGAGTTGGAAGGGGCCATACAGGCCAACTACTCCTACCCCCTGCTCAGTGCAGGATCAGCCTAGAGCATCCCTGACAGGTGTGTGTCCAGACACTGCTTAAAGACTGCCAGTGAGGGGGAGCTCACCACCTCCCTAGGCAGCTGATTCCACTGTTGCACAACTCTTGCTGTAAAAACGGTTTTCCTAATAGCCAGCCGGAACCTTCCTGCCCTTAATTTAAACCCATTATTGTGAGTCCTGTCCTCTGCTGCCAACAGGAACAGCCCTCCCCTAAGGGACAGCTCTTGAAATACTTAAAGAGAGCAATCATGTCCCCCCTCAAACTCCTCTAGACTAAACATTCCAAAGTCCCTCAGCCTTTCCTCATAGGGTTTGGTCTCCTGGCCCCTGATCATCCTTGTCGCTCTCCTCTGCCCCCGCTCCATTCTGTCCACATCCTTTTTGAAGTAAGGCCTCCAGAACTGCACACAGTACTCCAGGTGCGGCCTGACCAATGCAGTGTACAGCAGGACTATGACATCTTGTGATTTGGATGTTGTGCCTCTGTTCCCCAGATTGCATTAGCCTTTTTTTATTTCCACATCACACTGGCTCCTCATATTTAACTTTCATGAAGCCCACCCTTACCCCAAGATTTTGTTCACACACACTGCTACTTAGAAGTGTATCCCCCATCCAGTATGCACGTTCCTCATTTTTGTTGCCCAGATGTAGAACTCGGCACTTATCCTTGTTAAATTGCATCTTGTTCACATCCACCCATTTTTCCAGTGTGTCCAGATCTCATTGAATTCTGTCTCTGTCTTCTGGTGTGTTTGCTGCTCCTCCCAATTTAGTGTCATCTGCAGATTTAATGAGTAGCCCCTCCACACCCTCATCCAGATCATTCATAAAAATATTGAAAAGTATCAGGCCCAAAACCAAACCCTGTGGCACCCCACTGGACACCTCCCTCCATTCAGATGAAATGCCATTGACAACTAATCTCTGAGTGTGGTTCTCCAACCAGTTCCCTATTCACCTATCTTACAGTCCAGTCCACAGTCCTTTAGTTTACCCATCAGAACATGGGGAACCCTGTCGAAAACTTTCCTGAAATCCAGTTAAACAATATCAACAGCATTCCCTCAATCCAGTAAGCTTGTCACTCAATCAAAGAAGGAAATGAGGTTGGTCTGGCAGGACCTGTTGGGGACAAATCCATGCTGACTTCCCCGGATCACCAAGTTGTCCTTTAGATGCTCGCAGATCGATCCCTTTAAAATCTGCTCCAGTATCTTCCCTGGGACAGAGATCAGACTGACTGACCTGTAGTCATCCCTCCCTTTTTTTTTTAAACGGATAACATCTGCCCTCCTCCACTCATGTGGCATGTCTCCCGTCCTCCAAGAGGTCTGGAAGAAGATGGACAAAGGCTCTGCAAGCTCTCTAGAAAGTTCTTTGAGCACTCTTGGGTGCATACCATCTGGCCCTGGGGATTTGTACTCATTCAATGCAGCCAAGTGCTTCTCAACTACCTCTCTGTCCATGTCATCCTACAGCCTAGATGCTGTGACTTGCTCACTACCATCTCTAGATGAGCCTGTTCTCTTCTTCAGGGGAAAAACTGAGATTGCACCTTTTCTTCAGAATCAAGTATGTGAATGGTTAAGTTCAACAGCTCCAGCCAAACTGTATAGCTAAAGACTAGCCCAATCACCCATCAAAAGGTGATGCTTGTAATCCTAATAGTGAGATAGCTATAAAGTCTTTACATAAAGCAGGGTGCCAAAATAAGCCATCTGCATTGTGTTTTCAGATTTGTAAGTTCAAATCCTGATAGCCAAACATCTTCAAATGCACCATTAAAATATCACCACTTGGAATTCATATACACATCATCCAAAACCATTCACTGTTGTGAAGCTACTTAGTAACCTCTCAGTTGATTCAAAACACGAAGATACAGTAAGAAGGGCTCTTCAGACTTTCCAGGCACAAGGAACTTCCCTTTAGTTAGGAAATACATTTTTATTGGCCTTTTTTGCTTAAATAGTGGAAAAGCCTTCTAATGGCCAAACTCACACTCTGCCGTGTTAGACACCAGCTGGAGTCCTGTGTGCAGCTGGAGGCAACACGAACATGGTGAGGCTGATGCTGATAGTGATGTTCAAATGCTGTGCTCAGTGACAAAGCACAACCGAGGAAAAGCTGGCCGTTTTAAGGCACCAAGGAAAGGAAGAGAAGTTTTGGGACGGTCAGGGATTGTTTTAAAACTTCTGGTGTAATAGTTTATAAATGTAAGTAAATCACGCATTCAAAAGTATAGGTGATATCGAGTTTATAAATGTAAGTAAATCACGCATTCAAAAGTATAGGTGATATCGAGAACCTTCTAGAACTAGTACTTGGTGGGAAAGCACTATCACTTAACACAGTTTCAGCTATGAAACATTTAGTCCTAAATCACCTTGATAACCTGATCGTTTGATACACAGCCAAAGCCAGAGCTGTATCTAAGTGCAAGAAATGCAGCATTCTGGAATACAGATAAATTATTCAGTTTGAACATATATATGTGACTTCTTGTATTTTTATACCCAGCAGCCCTGTAAAGAAGTCCTGTTCCCAGTTTTCTGACTGGGAACGAAGGCTGAGATGCTGTATCCACCTAGACCATTTCCACAAAAGGGCAAACCCCCGAGTTCATGTTCTTAAACATTCAAAGCAAGCCACAGGTTCCACAAAGAATTTTGGCTCCCCAGGAGTCTGTCTGCAGCTTCCATCCACTTGCCCCATGTTTCCCAGGTCCTGATTTGCTGTGGGTTTTTTCCTTCGGATCCTAACTCTGTGTTTTCCAGTGAGGAATTCTTTAATTCGGACCAATTATCCTGCCCACGCCACCATTTTGGGTCATCAGCAACTCATGTTAACCCCTCCTACCACCCTCCATTCCCCTCCGCCTTTCTTTAAAAACCACAATTATGTTAGGACGCAATTTTGACCTTCACAGCACACGGCACATGAAGCTCCTGTGCTTTGCTTTGCCTTTGCAGACCTGTGATCCCTTTAGATCCATGCAGGATGGAAAAGGCTGCCCTGCTGCCCATTGTAGTGGCTGGCATCACGGTTTAGGTGTTTAAAATGCCTATCTAGTAAACATCTCCATCACAGGATCAATTCCCGGCTGGGATTCTGCCTTAAAAAAACACACCCTCAATTGTGATTGCATTAGGACCCAATTGTGCACATTACTAGAGTACACAAGGGGAGGCTGCAGCGAATGGGCTCTGTATGGCTTTATATAGCCCCCCCCCCCCAGCAGCTGGACTTCCCCCCTCGGTGCTCTCTCACATCTCTGCAAGCAGCACAGGAACCAGGTGGACTGGGGGTGTGTGTGGCCTCTCTTTCTGATAAAGTGTGCATTCACATGGAACCTTATACCCAAAATTGTACTTTGCTGGTCTTTAAGGTACCACTTGATTCAACTTCTGTAGCCAAAATAGCTCAGTTGGGAGACTGTAAGGCTGAAGATCTAAAAGTCCCTGGTTCAGTCCCAGGTTGTGGGAAGTGGTGTGTCCTTTGCACTGTTTTTTTCCTCCCCCCTTCCAAGGTATTCATGTGCACAAGAAGAGTGTTAATACCACACAATCTCAGGATGCATTATGACAGCTGCTTGGGTATCAGGGCAAGCAGAGATTAGACTGAGTCGTCTGTATGAAGAGGGGGACTCAAGAGCCGCTTCTGAGAGGTTTTATGGAGAGGGGCACACCATCACCTCGCCCCCTTCCCTCCAAGCACGTTTTGCCACTGATGCTGTGTTATAACCTCAGTCATTCGTCTGCCATGCCCCCCTCCCCATACAATTTATAGTAAAAGTCCTGGGTGAGGACACCATTTAATCTGCCAGGCTTTATTAAGTTCTACTGGTGCACTTCATTATCCCAAAGTCTTTCATATGTTGAACAATATTCATTGGGGGAGGGGGCAGAATCAGCAGCTAGATACACAAACTCTTGCACAAGCTGGATGGAGGGGGGGGGGAGTAGAGGAACAGAAACTGAACGTTCACCAAAACACAGATGTCTGTCAGAACTGCTCTTAGTACAAGAGGACATATGTTTCCATCCACACCTAGTCATGCAAACCTATGTGCAAGTAAAGCTGGATATATATAGACATGTACATGAGAGCCAGTTTGGTGTAGTGGTTAAGTGCGCGGACTCTAATCTGGGAGAACCGGGTTTGATTCCCCACTCTTCCACTCGCAGCTGCTGGATGACCTTGGGCAAGTCATAGTTCTGACAAGAGGTGTTCTTGAAAAGAGCAGTTTCTCTCAGCCCCACCTACCTCACAGGGTGTCTGTTATGCGGAGGGGAAGGGAAAGGAGTCCATAAGCCACTCTAAGTCACCGAGTGAAGGGCAGGGTATAAATCCAATCTCCTCTTCTACAAGAAATGTCTGGGATGGCACATGTACCTGTAGATCCAACTTTGCTTTTCTACCCTTTTCCAACGGCACATTTGTTTACTTGTGAAGCCATGGCAGCATACAGGTTATGTCACAAACGGGCAACACTGGTTATGCATTTGAACATTATAAAGAATTAGCATGCATAACTGGTACATGTGTAACAGTTCACACAGCAGGGCAGACTAAGAATTCTTCATGTTGAAGTTGTTCAGACAGCCTTTCTAACCCTTCCAGGAATTTCTGTAGATATTCAAGACTAGACTATGGAGAGGGAAATAGAAAAGCTTCAGCAGAAAGAAAGGAACAGATTTCACACACACCCAGTCACAACTAACTTCAGCCTCAATTGCAATGGAGCTTTAATACAGCTGCCTTTCATGTGCCTGTGGATTTCACTGAGTATTGAGGCAATCTTGAGAATGAGAGCTACAGTAAGATCCTTCTCCCAACCCACAACCAAGCTTCAACTTGCTCTTTGCTGCAGACACCACTAATGTGGTATAAAAACACTGTTAATGGGCTTTTAGAAGCTCTGTTGTATGAAAATGCCACTTGTCCAGCTCCTAGTACTTTTAAAATTAGGCCTCACCTAACAGCACAGCCTTGATCACTTTCTGTCTGGCTTTCTTAGGGGCCACATATGAGACAAGGCATAACAGACTGACTTAAGACGAGAATTCTGTTCTCAACTTGCCTGCCCAGCTTCCATGGAAGAAAACACAAGACGTCAAGAGATGGCACTCATATCATTCATTCTCTCTCTCTCTCTCCCCCAAGTTCTGATCACTCCCTTCCATAAAAAACAATTACCGTATGGCACTGTGTGTAGAATAGCCAGGAGATCTCCACCTCTGGTACCTGCAAGGTCTGGCACAATAGCATTGTTGCATAAATACTACTCCCTCCCCCATGCAGTCTTGAAACACTGCTTTGCCACCAACAGAAAGAGTCAACGCATCATTTGATGTAAGTACTTCATTTAATAGGCAAGATCATCGTATGACCAGCACTGAAGTGACCCAAAGGCTGAGCTCACAGAAACAGCAATGTTCCGTTTCAGGTTGCTAAAGAAGTGGATCTGAAAAGAGAAATAGGAATTATAAAAGTAAAAATCTGTTCTTGCATATGCAGAATACATAAATGTCTGCATTTAAACCAAGCAACAAAATGCTTTCTCCAACATAAGCAAGTAATCCACACAATACCTTCTCCTAGAAACCTGCAGACTATAGCTGGACAAACAGAAGAGATGAACTAGCAATATGCATGAAAGTGAATGCATAACTAATACAGTATCATGAGGGTCTAAAGAAAGGAGAAGAGCTAAAGGCATGCTTTGTACTTTTGAAAAGGATCTGGAAAGACTAGTACAGCATAGGTGTTCTATTAAAGCAGCCAAGGCAAATAAGTCAAGATAAGTAAAAGGAAGTGATCAAGAAGAGAGATGGCCAGAGAGTACTATGCCTGCACAAGTGAAAGCCTTTAGCAGGATATAATCAAAAAACACAAAGGTCAGATAGTTGAAAACCAAAAGACAGTTTGACACTAAGGTTTTACTATGCGGATGTACGCATAGCCAAAGAGATAAGCCCTATTAGATCAGACGTAGGGTTTCCAGAATGCTACTGTTCACATTACATTATGTTGTTATAACTTTTGGAGCTATGGTACTTCCTATTCCTCTTACTTCAGTGGAACACACCAACTCCCTTTATCACTTGAAATGTTTCTTTATACAGTTCTCCTGTGCAAGTGCAGGACTTTATGGAACAGCAGCACATTAAGTATGGCTTTGGAACCACAGTATTTTATATGCTGTTGCATTCTCAAGCATTACCAGACATTTAGATTTCTGCTAGATGAGAGACAATATTTTAACAACTGTTGTTATCCACTATGTATCCTTAAGGTATAGAACACTATGGAGCTAACCAGCTGGCGCAAGGGAAGCAGTATCCCCCTCCCCGCCCCAAGTTTGGCAACACAAGGTTTCCAAAAGTTACCTGGAGATGCTGGCTTATGAACCTTTGGGTGGTGCACTTTGAAATATGCCTGCTTCTCTCATGGCCTCAAATTCCTTTGCGAAATCATAGTTCTTATAGAATTCTGCATATGCTCGCTTCCTGGGTTCAGATACACCAAACTGAAATGAAAGATAAGACTGAAGGATCAAAACTAAGTTTAAACTAGCAAAATAAAGTGAGTTTTTTTGGGAAGGTCCTTTAGTCTAATTTCTGTAAGGAAACACTAGACAAATGTGTTTAATGTAAACTGGCTAGAGGATTGTCCTAGGTTTTGTGCTTACAGAATATTAACTGGTTTATAGAATACTACATTGTTGGATACAAGTCTGGTACACAGATCTGTAAAAAACTGACTTCCCATCACCAACAAAATCTGACCTTGAATCCAACTATAATTCCAAGAGAAAGGATAGACAGTACTACAAGATGTTTTTTAAGACGGCTGGCCAACAGGCCTCTCATCTGCGGTTTGGCCAATAAAGCAGATGACATGGTTGATAACTTCCCCTAAAAAAGAAAAAGAAAAACATTACACTTGAACCACATCTGCTTACCCAATATTAGGAATAAACATATACCTCTTCAACATATGTAATCATTTTCTTATCCATTTCTTCTTCTTCTTCCAAACAGCACCACACACACACACAAAACAGATTGTCAGTTAAAGGATTCGGGTAGCAGGTACTGAGAAAGAACTCCGGCTCAAACCCTGAAGAGTGACTTCAAGTCACAATGCTGCACTAAACAGACAGTGTAGGGCGTTTTCCTACATGCTATAACCTTTGAAGGAAGGCTACAGTATCTAGTGTAAAAGTACAGTTATTTTAAAAGTCAAATACTTGGGAGAGCGTATGCTACCACCCCAGCAGCCACGGGCAAGCAAACAACTTCTGTGCACTGTTTTAAACAGCCAAGCATGCCCCTTCCCAAGCGCATTAACACGGGGAACCTAATACTACTTTTTTTTTACTTTCAAAGTCTGATGAGATTTTATTTCAGCATCAACTTTTTTGTTATTAATATTTTTTTATTTTATAGTTAAGATTTTTACAAACATGTAACAATACCAGTCAAAACAAAGCAAGATACAATTGAAGTATAACTCAGAACAATTTGCAAAGTATGGCTTTAGCATTATTGTGAAATAAGGGGTATCCCCCCATACATCATCTATATGATTTATGTAATAACAACAGTAATATGTGAACGACAACAATAATGATAAGAAAATACAGACCGTTTCAACACTACACTCTAACTGTAGAGATAACATGACAAAAGTATGCTTCAATTCCAAGAATCATCATAACCCTTTTTGATACTGAGCCCAAGAGGTAGGTATAAATTAAATTCTAGTGAGAAAATCTAATATGGGTTCCCATTTTTCCATGAGTTTAGTAGAAATTGGTCTTAAGGAAGCATTATTCAGTTTGCAAGTGACACACTCCATCAAGAATTGATCCCACAATTTTCTATACCAGATTTGAGTTCCAGGTGGCTGGGTATCTTTCCAGCACGTGGCAATAGAGGTCCTGGCAGCATATATCATTATACCCATTGGTTTTTTGTGTGTGATTTTCTATGTTTGGTGGCCAGTAATCAAGAAAAAGCCCTTCCGGGCAAATAGGCATATCTATTTTGGCAATACATTTAACTAACCGCTGTATCTCTTTCCAGAAGCCCTGTATCTTCTCACACCTAATACGACTGTTAAAACCCCTGCTGATTTGGGCCACAGAGCCTACCAGCGAGGAGGCCGCACGGGGAACCCTGTAACGCTGAACCAAGGCAGGCAGGTATTTCCAGCATGAGCTTCCGTAAAACAGAGCTCGTCTCGGGAAAGCTCTTTACGATGCTACTGGGCTTCCTTCCCGCTTGGCACTTCCGGCATTCAGCGGGCCATTAACGAGGCAAGGCGTGGAGAACTTCCACCATAGAGTTGCCACAGGAAGAGTGTCCACAGCCCCTCTGCGGGCCTACAGAGCCTGCCCTCCCCCCCCCCCTTGGGTGACCCAGACAAGGCGGCGGCAGCGCGCGCCCTTTTTAGAACGCGGGAACGGCAAGGGGTGGGGGGCGGCGAAGAGGCGACAATTTCGGGGAGGGGAGCGCGCCTCACCTCACACAGCGAAGACGGCTTGTAAAAACAACGCCAAGACCTTCCAGAGGAGACAGCGCTGCCCTTCCTTCTGTTTCACCTTTCAGGGCGCAGCGAAAGTCTGCGCATGCTCAATCGCGCTGCGGGGCTTCCACTCGGGTACGGCAGGGCGCTTGGTTCAAACAGGACAAAGAGCGGCGTTAGGCGTAAAGCGCCGTAGATAGCGCAAAAGGGGTGGGCGCGTGCGCGGGTGGTGTCCTCCTCGGCGCCAAGGCGCTGTTGCTTGTTAAGTGGTGCAGATTGAAACAGAGGAAAATGATCCGTTTTTGGATCAGATCCATAAAGCCAGAGAGGGTTTTTAAATTGATGAGATGTATATTCAAAAGCAAGAAATTGCTAGTAGATAAATAGGTACTGCATCGGTGGGAAGGTAACAGCGTTCTGCGCGCCTTGGCATTTATACCAGCCACATGACCACAGAAATGTCTTCGGACAGCGCTGGCTCTTCAGCTTGGAAATGGAGATGACCACCGCAACCCTAGAGTCGGATTCGACTGCCTTTCAAACAAGGGAAACCTTTACCTTTACCTGTATAGTAATAATCATTCTGAGTGAGGAGCATCTGGGGCGTGTATAGGATTCCCCATGCTAATACTTTGATAAAGCCAGGCAGGGGAGCAAGTCTCTGTAACTCTTCCTTCTTATCTAGGAGCCCTGCCCTGAAGAAAGAAAAGCACTCTGCACCTCTGTTTGTGCCAGCACGAAACAAGCCCTGCAATTTATTAGAAACTGGGAATAAGGCCCCTTTTGGACGTAAATACAGTGTGTTCTAGAAAGAGGCTCTGGGTGGGTGCCCTGGCCTTGGGCACTCAGTGTCAATATGCTGCCGCAACCTCAGGAGGATATAATAACACAGAGCTTACCGTTTTCTCCAAGGGAACTGATCTCTGGCCATCTGAAGAGCAGCTGTTACAGTGTGTTCTAGAAAGAGGCTCTGGGTGGGTGCCCTGGCCTTGGGCACTCAGTGTCAATATGCTGCCGCAACCTCAGGAGGATATAATAACACAGAGCTTACCGTTTTCTCCAAGGGAACTGATCTCTGCCATCTGAAGAGCAGCTGTAATTCTGAGTGATCTCCAGCCCTCCCCTGTAGATTGTATCAATATAAAGACACTCCATGAATGAATTACAAACAAAAGCAGAAAGATTATACTGTACAAAACAATTCAAACAGTTTTAAATCTTTGTTAAAGTTCAACAAACCCTTATATATTCTTCATCAACAAGCCATTATCTACCCCTCTGACTTCAGCTTTCAATCTCCCCCCACACCTGGAGCCTCTACCTAGGAAAACTACAGTCTTTCTCCTCAGGAGGAAATGACCTCAGCCTTCTAATGACTTAGAGTCCACCCTGCAAAGCAGCCATTTTCTCCAGGGGAACAGATCTCTGCCTTCTGGAGAGCAGTTTTAATTCTGAGTGATCTCCAGCCCTCACCTGGAGAATGGCAGCAATGGTTCCCCATGAGGAAATGGCTGGTTCGGAGGGTGGAGTCTATGGCATTGTACCTGTCTGAGGTCCCACTTTCAAATCTCCAGGAATTTCCCAACACGGAGGTGGCAAACCTATTTCCTTCCCAGCCAACCATCAGCATATTGTTATCTGCCCCTCTGGCTTCAGCTTTCCATCTCTTCCCCCCTCCCTGTAGCCTTTACCTAGGAAAAGTGCAGTCTTTCTCCACAGTGGTGACCAAAGCAGCTCACATCGTTCTCCTCTCCCCCTTTTGATTTGCACAACAACCCTGTGAGGTAGGTTATGCTGAAAGTCTGTGAGAGGTCTGAAATCACCCAATCGGCTTCCACAGGAAGAACCTGGATCTGGAAGACCCTGCTCTGAAGCACTAACTGCTACATCACACTGGTTGTCTTGGGGGGGCACCTCAGCAGAGTATAATGACACAGAGCCCACCATTTCCTCCAGGGGAACTGAACTCAGCCATCTGGAGAGCAGTTGTAATTCTGAGTGATCTCCAGCCCTCACCTGGAGATTGGCAGCAATGGTCCCCCAGGAGGAAATGGTCCTACCCCTCCTGAAACCCCACCCTCTTCAGGCTCCACCCCTCAAATCTCCAGGAATTTTCCAACCTGTTGGCAACCCTATCTCCTTCCCAGCCAGCCATCAACCTACCGTTATCTGCCCCTGATCTCTACCATCTGAAGAGCAGTTAGAATTCTAAGTGATCTCCAGCCTTCACGTGGAGATTTGACATCAATGATTCCCCAGAAGGAAAAGTACAGTCTCTGCAGTGGAGACCAGAGCAGCTTACATCATTGTCCCCTCCCCCTTTTGATCTGCACAACAACCCTGTGAAGCAGGTTACTCTGAAAGTCTGTGACTGGTCTGAAATCACCCACTCAATTTCCACGGCAAGAAACTGGGTCTAGCAGACCCTGCTCTGAAGCGCAAACTGCTATGCCTAGGGTAGCCAACCTCCAGGTGCAGCCTGAAGATTACCGGGTATCACAACTGAACTCGAGAGAACAGATCTCTCCCCGCCCCCGGAGAAAATAACTGCTTTGGAGGGTGAGCTCTATGGCATTCTATTCAACTGAGGCCTCTCCCCTCCCCAAACTCTGGCTTCTGTAGACTTCACCTCAGAATATCCAGGAATTTTCCAACCTGGAGCTGGCAACCCTAGTCAGAACTGGCCCCAAGGAGTTCCCCACAAAGGCCTGAAAAGGGCTTCCTTCCTTTGCCTTTTTACTGACAGAACCAAGCTTGGTTGCCTAGCAACTGCCACTGAGGGAAAAGTTAGTTCCACAGGAGCCAAGAAGGAGAAGTGTCTTCATCAGGAGAGACAGTCATTTTGATAGTTTATTCTGTGAGGGAAGAGTGTCTACGCTGACAGTGTGCGGGGGAGACGAGCGGACCCAGCACCCAGCCAATGGCGCACGAGTACTCTTGAGTGGCAGTTGATGGGTCAATGGCTGATGAAGCACACTGCATAACCAATGGGACAACTGGAAATGGCCAGTACGCAAGTGAATTATATATATAGGAGACTGTGCTGCATGAAATTAATTAAAGACAGCATAACTTCTTTCCAGGACTATCCATGCACACATGTGGTAAACAAACCTGTGGGCTGAGCACTTTTTTCTTTCTTTTAAAATCTTGTTAAAATGAACCAATAAATATATTTAAACATTACTTGTATTTAGGGCTCACTGCGGTTGAAGTTAGTCATGACTACAGTCACAGTGAAAGAAATGAGACTTGTTCCATTTCACTTCTTTCATTAATCTTCTCATGACTAACTGACCTGGATAGCGGCCAAGATATTACTGTTTAACACTGGCAAGATCCACACCTCCCCTCGAGTGGGATGAGGGCACCACAGCCACCCATGATGTTTTCTAGTAGCCTGGAAGGTGTAGGCCAGAGGTGTCAAACTCTTTTGTTACGAGGGCCAGATCCGACATAAATGTCAGTTTGTCGGGCCAGACTATGTGTGCCATAAAATGTAATGCCAGGTACTGGAGATATGAACTGTATAAATGACAGCATCTAGTAAGCCCTGAGTTGGTGTATCTTCACTGAAAGGCCTCCTGGGATGGGAGGGGGGTGCAAATGAAAGCCCATATGGGCGGGCTGGAGAGCTAGTGGTGCAGCACTGGGCAGACCCTCCCACCCTGATTGACTGCTGCAGATGAGGTTGTTCCCCCACGCTGAAGCCACAATTGGAATGGCTCCGCCCACTTCCCCCAAAGGAGTCTCCTGTTCCCTCCCTTGTACAAGTTGCTCACGGGCTGCATAAGAGCCTTGAATGCCATGTTGGAAAACCGTTGCTGTCCCCAACCAAAAGCCTGGCGGAACATCTCTGCCTTGCAAGCCCTGCAATATAGTTCCTATATTTAAATTATTGTTATTACTGAAAGGATTGTGTGTTGATTGTGTAATAAAGTTGTCCCTGACTTTCCATTATGTTTATTTTTAAAAAAAGATGTTGTATTATTCCTGGGGGGAGGGGATCCAGACCAGAAGAGTAATACTTTTATTATGACTGCTTAAAAACCACTTTTTTAAAAACAAAACCTGTTCTAATAAAGGTATTATTATATTGTTTCTGTTTGCATGCATTTTGTTTATTAGCAAGGGACTAGTGTTGTGGACACTACCACCACCTGCTCCACAGATTAGGCTCTCCTGTGTGGTGCATGGGCAGTGGAAGATACTTTTGATCTACCCAGTATTTAGATAACCGGAGTATTGATGTTACATGAGAATACTGCAGAGAACCACAGTGTACTCACCTGCTACCACAATAATGCAATGTAAACAGCATCTTAGAAGTTTGAAACCGGGTTACTTCAGAAGGCCTTGCCCTAGTAACTCTCCCAGCGGTTTCATGATATGCATTACTCTATACTAAGTTAATTATAAAAACATCCATTTGCCAACTTTGCAAAATCATATTTGTTCATTTTCCGGTCTGAGCCAGAAATGAATGTATTAAAAACTATTGCCTTGGAGCTAACATCAGGCCATAACTGTTATGGCACCATACAAAAATGGCAGCTCCATAAAAAAGGGAGCGGTGGCGCAGGCAGTGAATGAAGCCTGCATCCCATCTAGCCGAACAGCTTCAGCTGTTCGAGCTCCACCGTGGCCGGGGTGAGCTCCCGGTCCAGATCCCAGATCCCGCCCACCCAGCGGCTCGAAAGCCGATATGGGCAAGTAGACAAATGGGTACCTGCTCTTAGAGTGGGGGGCACCCATCCTTCCCTTCGCGATGGCGTGGCGTGGTGGCAGCATGAGCAGCGGAGTAGCGGCAGCGGCGGAGAACATGGCGACAGTGGTGAGGCGAGCAACCGAGCGGAGACTGGGCCGGCAGAGCACAGAGGCGGACCGAGGCAGTAGGCCGGAGCCAACCGGACAGAGGCCGGCTGCGGAAGCATGCGCGGAGTGCACTATGGCCCATACCCGGAAAGGAGCCGCGACAACCAGAGGAAGACCCGTGCCGGGGAAAAAAAGACGTCGCCGGATTGGAAAGACCTCCCGCAAAAAGAGACTATAACAACGAAGACTCTGCTATGGGTGCCTGTTAGGTTAGTCAATTCCCCCTCAATTGTATGTGTGTGGCCC